ATTTGTAGGTTAATCCATCTTTAAAATTTTGTTAGCAAAGGGATTTTGCCATTTTATATCATTTAACTTTACTAATTTACTTTTGTATGAATAATTCACTGTAATATATATATATATATATATATATATTTATTTATTTAGTTTATGCAAAACTAGGTAATCTGTATGGGTAGACCCGAGGAGGATGATATCCAGAGAGCTCAATGTAAATTCAGAGCAGATATGTTTGAATAAAAACAGACCACTTTAAGGTTCCATGTAATAAGTTATTTCATCACAACCCCCTTTAACAGGGATCTGGATCATCAGACTTTACTTCCAAAGGTTAAAATGAAAAGAAATTCACACAAATTGACCGCATCAAGCATATGTAAAATTGAGGAAGTGAGGTGGGAGAGAAGATATGAGTGAGTTAGATGTACCATTTCAATTCCTTATCCTTAACCCCACTCTGTGTAGGCTAGACGTCGCTTAAACTTAACGTGTGTTATCTCTAGATATAAATGGGTAAGAGGTGAGGGAGAAGACCGACATTAAAGAAAGAAGCTACAACAACCCTAATAAATTACATTTCACGAGGGCAGGTTTCATTCGAATTCTTAGACGCTGTTAATTCGCATTACTTTAAAGGGCATATTTGGGAGGTTAAGGTTTGATATAAATCTAAATGTCTAAACAATCTACGAAGAATTTAATTTGAAGTTGGAGTTTTGGGTATTTTCTATGAAACAGTCGATTAGAAAAACTCATAGAAAGTGCATTGAAAGAGTAATCCATTTTATATTTAGTAATCTTTATTTTCCTAAACTTTTTTTCTTATTGATTGTTAAGTTGACATCTATTCGTTTGATTTTTGTTCATTAATTAAATAAACTTGTGATTGTTTTTAGGTACCTAATTATCAATTATATATATATATATTCATTCAATGGATTTTCATTTGACATTATTTCCTACTACTTCAAAGGTTATTTTGGAAATGCCTGTGCATTCAAGAGAATTAATAAAAGAGATGTTATCTCGAGCAGTGTTTTTCAATCTACATCTGGAGAAATCCTCATTTGATATGGCTGAGTGATTTAATGCATGCTGGATCGGAGGTTAGTTTCTCTTCCAAAGGGTGACACAGCAGGGTTGAGCTCTCCTGGCAGGTACATTTTCTTAATGAAGTCTGTGAGAGAGTGTCTAATTTGCCACCCAGAAGGGCTCAGATGTTTTGACCTCTATTGAGGCTGGAGAGTGAGCACTGGGCAGCTCCTGCCCAAATATGACAACAGTACTCCATTCTTGGCCTTATCTGCTTCTTGTAAAGGCAAAGGAGAGCACATAAAGTCAGGTATTTACTGGAGCAGTACAAGGAGACAACCATTTTATCTACATCTTCAGCAATGGATTTGTATGTATGCCTTTCACTTGAGGTCAGGTGTGAGTTTGCGGCCCGATAGTGTTTCAAGGCATGGTGCCTGCCTGCCTGCCTGCCTGAAGGGACATCTGTTCATTGTGACTGGTAGTAGTTTGGGGTCAGAATGCAATAATTCACAGTTAAAAAAAAAAAAGTGTCAACTCAAAATGGGCTTTTACAAAATAATGTTTGTAATAGCAGTATGTGTGTGTGTGAGGGGTCATTCAAATCAATCAACACCCACAGGTGACAAGTCTCAGAGTGTCTTGAAATTTCACTGCATTTTGTGATTTGTGAAATAAAGCTTTCAGCAAAATTTTGATATTCATTGCTTCAAGAATATTCTATGTACAATTTAGAAACTTGGTGACAATAGGTAATGTTTACTGTAGATTACAAAACTATAAACAGCTTAGGTGTCTCTTATGTACATATATTTTTTATAAGTATCTGAATCTGGCCAAAATGTAAAAAAACATGCCATTCATTTTGAGAGCTTCTCATTGGCAAAGTATGCTAGATACATTGCTATCATATATATATATATATATATATATATATATATATTATTTTGTAGTAGTATTTTACTATAGGAATGCATTGCAAATGAGGAAGAAAGGGGATTGTCAGTGGTCAGGAATTAATGCAAACATTACTGATAGAATAGGGCTATTATGTATAATTATTTTGTAGCAGTGTTTTACTATAGGAATGCATTGCAAATGAGAAAGAAAGGTATTGTCACTGGTCAGGAATTTAGTGAGACCATTACTGGCAAAAAGAGTTTGTGTGATTGTCTAGTAGATTGGCAATACGTTTTTAATTTTTGAAAACATTTCTCAGGTAAACATTTTAGTCATTTAAAAAATTTTTTTTTTTTTTTTTTTTTTTTTTTCAGGACCAAGTCGATGTCCATGTAGTAAAATTGTCTGGTGTGAAGATATACTCTCCTTTAACACGTGTTAAAATTGGCACACGGGTAAGTACATGAATTGATTCTATATTCACTCTATTCTTTTGTTTGCTTATGAATCCTACTAGGATGCAAAATAAACCCTTGTACTATTATATCTTTATTTAGACATACACCGTTTAAAATAAAATTGGGACATCTATTTCAAACATGGGTATCAATAAAAATAATGTTTGAAGTGATAAATTTTTGAGAAAAAAAAAATACTTACATTCTTCCTTTAAAAAAAACCCAAAGAAAGTGTGTGTGTGTGTGTATATATATATATATATATATATATATATATATATATAAATAAATAAAAGTGAAGAGCTTATTTTAGTTCCAACAAGAGAAAAGTGCATATATTAAAAAGAAGAGAGATACCGCAAACGTTTTTGGTTGTAATGTGGATTTTAAAAAAAAAATATGCTTTATTTTCCATAAGTTTGCTACCAGATTATGGAAAATAGGCATAATATTTTGAAAAAAATCCACATTACAACCAAAAACGTTTGTGGTTTCTCTCTTCTTTTTTTATATATATATATATATATATATATATATATATATATACACGCACAATGTGTGGTATCAATACCTTCGTATTTTAATGGTTGACAAAAAAAACAATGTCCTTGCTATTAAAACTACATAATTCCAAGCCATGATGATAATTGATAGTATCTGGTGGAGGAAAAAAAAAAAGACATTAGCTCGATGAAGACACCATGGCCACTTGCCTAAATTCACTAGCATTTTGCAGATGACAGTTTGAAATGAGGGAAATATTTCTGCCGCACTGTCTATCCACTGAATAGATTTTGAAATATTCATCATAAGTACATGTAAATTTAAAAATCTAAAGTAATCTCCAGGCATGGAAAGAATGAAAAAAAAATGACTTGCAATATCAATAAAAGCAGAAATAAAAAATTTTTTTTTACAAAAAAAAACCAAAAAAAAAACCCAAATGTTTTACATTTTATAAGTTTAGGCTAAAACTTTATAAAGAAAAAATACAACAATCAAAAACTTACCGAAAATATAAATGAAATGAAAATTTTTAAGTTACATTCTTTTTTTGAATGGCAACATTTCTCTTGAAGTGTTAAAATGTACTGTTAATTAAAATTTAAAAATATGCTTAAAAGTTGCCATAAAATAAAACTTACTTTGAAAGTTCAAAAAGGAATATTTACTAATTACCAAGAATTAATTATTCAAAATAAATCTGGTAGAAAAGTAAAAAAAAAAAAAAAAAAAAATTTTCTGATGCTAAAAGTAAAAAATTATCTTGCAACAAATATCCATTTAAAATAAATAAAAAAAAAAAAAAAAAGTATAAATTTTATGGACACACAATTTTCATCTGAAAAATATATCCTTTTATTATTTTAATTTATTTTTTATAAAATTTATAGTATAATTAAAAATAACTTAAATCAATATTCAATTTAATTTGTGAAATTAGGAGCTAATGCCAAAATTTAGCTAATTTGTAAATGTAAACTTTTAATAGATTATTTACATTATTCGGACTATTATCCTCATCTTTGTCGCCATATTTATCACAACATTTCGGCCGTTCTTCAGGTGGTTGTAATATCGAACTAAACCCTTTATTTCGCTCACCGGGGTAGACTGTTCTAGTTCCACGTTTGATGGATGTCAGTTATCAGTTATCTCCTGTTAATTTCCCTCTGAAAGTTCTCCACTGTCTTAACCAGGTATTGAACTCACACTCTTTGGGTCCTGTCACTGGATGTAACCAATGCCTTTATCCACTGTGCCATGTGTCCTTTAATAGATGTTCTTAAAATTAGAATATTATATGTACACAAATTGCGAGATTTATAGAAATAAATTAAATATATACATACACACATTTTAAGATTACAGTACTTTTTCATTTTTTTATGTACACAAATTTTCCTTTTTTTTCCTTGACAAATAGATTTACATTCAGGGATGAAATTATTCATACACACATGAATTTTGAATATTTTTATCCATTTCTCAGCATCCAATGCCTGTATGATACCAGGTTTTTTCTATGTTAATAAGCACAAAAAAAAAGGAATATAAAACTCAATTTTTAGAACAATAGGTTAAATGCAACAAATTTAACAGGTGAATTATGCAAAATAGGAAAAGACAATTATTTGAACAGTATGAAAAATAGAAAAAATTTAACAATTTTCACAATTTTAACAGTTAATAACATGGCCTCTCATATTTATAAATTGCTGCATTCGTTTTCTAAGGTTTTTGATGGGATTTGAATAAGTCTTTTCTGGGATTTTCTTGTGTTTTTCAATGGTTACACATTCTAATTCCTGAAGGTGTTTTGGTGGCTGATGATCTATTTGAATTTTCAATAGGATTCAAGTCGAGACTCATTGAAGGCCATGGCAGAACTGTAATCTTTCTCTGAAGCTACGCGATTACTGATTTAGACGTATGTTTGGTGCCATTATCTTGCTGTAAAGTAAATTGCCGACCTGGATGAAGATTTTGTGCTGATAGTTGTAGATTTTCATCCAGAATTTTTATATAGTCTGCAGATTTCATTATTCTTCTTATTACAATTAATTGTCCAGCCACCCACCGTAAGCTAAAACAACCCCAAAACATCATTGAGCCCCTCCATGTTTTAATGTTGCCACTGTATTCTTTGGGCAGAAAGCCTCGCCTTTCTTTTGCCAAATCTTTTGTACGTCATTATGTCCAAAAAGCTCAATTTTTATTTCATCACTTCATAGTGCTTGTTCCCAAAAGTAATTTTCTTTGTCCAAAAACGTTTTGGCAAAATTAAACCGAGCAACAATGTGATATGGTTTGTGAAGATGGGTTCGTCGTGGCCGGTTTCCATACAACTCATTTCTATTTAAACAACGTTGTATTGTGCGAGTACTTACGCTGATACCCGTTGTATCCAAACTTTTAGTAATGTCTTTCAAAACAAATCTTGGGTTTATATTAACCTTGTGACACAGTTTTGTGCAGTTCTTGGTGATAATTTAGGTTTTCTTCCATGCACAGGCAAATTCTCTGTCATGCAAAACTGCTTAAACTTCTTTATAACAGACTGTATCATAGATCAAGGTATAGCTAACCGGTTTGAAATAATGTTGTAACTATATCTCGACTCGTGGAAGTTAATAATTCTCTGTCTCAAGTCAACACTAAGCTCCTTTGTCTTCCGCCATCTTGTTGTTAATGTAAGAATAACAATGGCGGGAATCTATACACCACGTGATGTTCTTTGTTAGAATTATCATAAATATTCTACTGAACAAATAGTCTAGAAGGGTTTCACCAACCAAATATGCAAATTACTTATGCTTACATGAATCAATTTCAAACTGTATGAATAATTTTGTCTTTTCTTAGTTTGCATAAATTGCCTGTCAGATTTGTTGTATTGAAACTATTGTTCTGAAAAATGAGTTTTTTTATTCCTTTTTCGTGCTTGACATATAAAAAAAACCTGGCATCATATGGGCATTGGATTCTGAGAGATGGATAAAAATATTAAAGATTGATGAGTGTACGAATAATTTTGTCATTGACTGTATATGTACATTGTAAAGTTACATTATTTTACATACACAGTTTTTTTTTTTTTTTTCCATGGATAAATACAAGTGTGTGAAATTTAATTAAAAATATTAAAAATTTAAATATTTTAATTAAATATTAATTTAATATTTTAATTAAAAATTAAAAATTGATGGGTGTATGAATAATTTTATCATTGACTGTATATGTACATTTAAAAATTACATTATTTTACATACACAAAGTTTCTATTTTTTTTCTATGGTCAAATACGAGTGTAAAATTTAATTAAAATATATATTTCTAGTTTATTTTTAATGCCTAATATACAGTAAGTAATTTTCTTTATACAACTTTAGAATAAAGATAAGAAATGTGAGGAAAAGATTTAAACTCCCCAAGAAACTGTGAAATGTTTCCTCGATGAAACAAGTCAGTTGGGGCATCTGGTGAATTCAAATTTCAAAAACGCCGCCTTTTTATATTTGCTTGCACTTTGAGTTGGTTGGACATTGTGATATAAAACCAACTGATTGTTAAATATGGAACCTTGTGCTCTAAGAAGGTGTAATTTTTTTTTTTTTTTTTTAGAAGTAAATTACTTTCATATTTCATCCACTGAAGTTTTCAACTTAGAAATATCTAGTGTAAAATAACCTCAAATTTTATTTTAAATCCATCAAATTGACAAGCATCATTTTTTCTTTAACATGGGACTATTTTGATATGCGTAAGAACACAGAACCTGGAGCGCAACAAATTTAAAAATATAAACTTCTCTGATTTTAAAATGTGTAAAAAGAAGTGCCAATCACTGAAACATGACCTCATTTAAAGAGATCTGTAATAAAACCTAATTATCACACAACAGAAAGAATTATCTTTACAAAGAGAAAACATTGAATTTTTTTTTATATACTAATTTAATCAAAATAACTTTTAAAATACTCGAGATATTGCCAGTCGAACTTCAAGGAAATTTCAGTATTTTGACTCATTTTTCGCGTTCAGTTTGGGATAACTCAGTCAGTTATTTGCCATGTGTGATACACAATTAGGTGATCATGTATCTTTTGATACATGACTGATATCTGCAGATTTTTTTTTCTGCAGTAGGTTGCCATTTCTTTCTGCTGTAGTCCAGTTGTCATCCTGCTATTTAACCATAGCTGGGGGGAGAAGAGGATTCGTACTTTCCCCAAGAGTATTAGTATATAAGTAAATGTAATGGATTAGAGTGGAATTTGAACTCTGATTCCTCAGTCTGAGCTGCTATTTGGGATAACTACTTGCATTATTTGCATTAATCCTCATCTTTATTGCCATATTTACTATGTTTCGGCTGTTGGAATTTTGAACTGAACCGAACCCTTTATTTCCTTCAACTCAACTCTCTCAAGTTTTTGGTATTGAACTCACAACTCTTTGGGTCTAGTCACTGGATCTAACCAACGTCTTTATCTACTGAGTAATGTGTCCTTGAGGATATCTGTGTATGAATTTTTGAGACTAATAAACCTAGTGACTCTGCAACCATTTTTTCTGTTATTATGCCATTTTTACCTGAGGCTGAAATGTTGTAAATATGGTAAATAAGGATATCAGTCTGAATAATGTAAATAATACAAGTAAGCATAGTACTTCATCTCGGAGATCCATTCACCTGAAGAAGGCCAGGACATACAACGGCCATGACATTGTGAATATGGCAATAAAGATGAGGATAACAGTCTGAATAATGTAAGTAATCATAATAGCTCATCTCAGAGATCCAATCACCTAAAGAAGGCTGGAGCGTACAACAACCAAAACATTGTGAATATGGCAATGAAGATGAGAATAACAGTCCAAATAATGTAAATAATGCATGTAATCATAATACCTCATCTCAGCGCTATAGACAGATATTGGGATAACTAGTATAAGTGCTTTTCTGTTGCCATTTTATTTAAGATTTCTTTGCTGCTTACTCCTGCTTACTGTCCATGGAATTCTCAGTATCTTTCTGTAGAACCACATTTCTGCTGCATCTAGCTTTCTTATCAACTCTGTCTAGAAATAGAATGTATGTTTTCACATCTGTTATAGCAACTCTATTAACCAAATAATGAAGTAACAAGTGTTGCTAAATATGGATATATTTAATATCTGTTGTCATTTTTAAAAAATCTCTTTTCCAGTTACCTTTGTATGCACTTGGAATCATGGAAAATGTCACTCCATTTTCGTTTGGAAGTTCCATTCCACCACTCCTCTTTACCTGGTCTGTGAGCAACAGAAAAGTTGGTACTCTGCAGTCAGTCTATCATAAGGTAAGGGATTTTTTTTTATCTGTCCCTTTTTTTTTTTTTTTTTTTTTGTTGCTTTCTTTAAACCTTTAGCCTTTGTCGACCTGCCCCGTAAATATCAGCTCTCAATTTTCAACCCTCTGTAACCTGACCCATCTATACTGTGCTCTAATGTAGGACTATATCATTTATCTTTATTACTATAAAAGTCTGTGACACGGCTGTTTAAAACCCTTGTTTTTGTCATATAGGAAAATCCAACATAATGAAATATTTGGTGAAAAATCCCATTCGTCAGTAACATTTTAAACACCACACAGAATGTAAAGTTCTTAATGCAAACCTATGCCAAACTGTTTTCCTGAATCCTTGATGACTTGGCTGTCCAAAAATAACATCAAGATGAAATAATGGAAACTGACCGTGAAAAATAAAATTATGCGCAACAAGTTTTCAATCAATCAGTAAACTTCTGGACCCTTTTAGGGCGACGTTATAGGATCCAGACGGCTATTGTTTGCACATGGAATTATTCACTGGTAATTAATCTTTGATTTGGCTGTAAACAATGTCACTCGGAGGTTAGAATTAAGAAATTATGCCCAATTTTCTGAGAAAAATCACCTGTTTTTTATAAAAAAATATATATATATATATATATATATATATATTTTCACTTTAAAATAATATCATTCAAACTTCATCCCTTTCTCCTTAATTTGGTGTGAACATCATTGAATAAAAAGAATTGCTATTTCATCCAACAATGGGAAATACGAAAGACATGCAGCGAAAAAAAAAATGTCGTTTGCTAAGTGTTGTTGTCATCACCCAGGTCACTGGGTGTTAAAAACAAAACACATCAAGCCATTGTTCAAATAGGTTTGAAAAACAAAAAACAAACCTTATATCAAGCCCTACCAATGTTGGTTGACCTTTTTTTTTTTTTTTTCACTTTTTGCTCTTATCTGGGAGTGGTGGGTTTTATTATAAGCTGATGACAACTTGTTCTAAACATTTATTGCTGGCTGGCTGACCTTTGACCCAGTCATGTCAAAGTCAATTTGGCTTAATTTTCCTTATTGCTGCTATTTTTTTGGACCCCCCCCCCCAATAAAACTTGGCTTTTGGTGGTCAGGAATTGCAGATAAATCTTTCGCCTTTTACTAAAGATTTTCGTGGTCAGGTGTCAATTTTTTTTAAACCCTGGCAGTCATATAATTGAAAATTACCAATGAACTTTGTTACATTTTGACCCCCTAGGAATGTTGATTTCTTTCAAAAATCTCATTTTATGCCTGAAATAGTTTGATTATGATTTAGGCTTATTTTAAAAAAAAAAAACAAAAAAATGGTTAATTTCTCATTAATAGGGAAAATTTTCACTATTTTTTCACATTTTACCCCCTTAAAAAAAATTTTGAGTCATTTACACCAGCCAATTTTACTTTTAAATGAAAGGATAAATTCTTTGATTTGAGAAAATGCCTAGTTTCATGGGGTACAGATCAAAATTTTCCTTGATATTAGTTTAGATGATGATAAAACAGTCATTTTTCAATATTTTACCCCCTATAAAAGTATGAAAATTCATTTTTTCAGAGAAAAATAAGCTGTGACAAAATGACTTTTGCCATTTTTGTGATGATTTTTTACTTGGGATAGAAAATTTTTACCATAGCAAACCTGAATTGACTTTAAGTTCAATGGGGCTATAGGAAACCTCAAACAGCTGCGGTGAATGTTGCTTTGGTTTTTGCCAGAAGTCATATATAGAGAGTGGGTGAAAGAAAGATAGGAATTTATTATTGTGTAGGAAGTGGGGAGAGAGAAGGAAATGAAGAAAAAACTGCTCCTCCTTTCCACCCACTTCTCTCTCTTTCTCTGCCCCCTCTTTCTCTGCCCCCTCTCTCTCTTTCTTTCTCTGCCTCCCCTCTCTTTCTCTGCCTCCCCTCTCTTTCTCTGCCTCCCCTCTCTCTCTCTGCCTCCCCTCTCTCTCTCTGCCTCCCTCTCTCTCTCTGCCTCCCCTCTCTCTCTGCCTCCCCTCTCTCTCTGTCCATCCCTCTCTCTCTCCCTCCCCTCTCTCTCTCTCCCTCCCTCTCTCTCTGCTCCCCTCTCTCTCTCTGTCCATCCCTCTCTCTCTCTCCCTCTCTCTCTCTCTCCCTCCCTCTCTCTCCCTCCCTCTCTCCCTCTCTCCCCCTCTCCCTCCTCCTCTCTCCCTCTCCCTCCCTCTCTCTCTCCCTCCCTCCCTCCTCTCCCTCCCTCCCTCTCTCTCCCTCCCTCTCCCTCCCCTCCTCCCTCTCCCTCCCTCCCTCTCCCTCCCTCCCCCTCCCCCTCCCTCCCTCCCTCCCCCTCTCCCCTCCCCTCCCTCTCTCTCCACCTCTCTCTCCACCTCTCTCTCTCTCCACCTTACCATGATTGTTTCAGCTTTCTTTAAACAAACAATATTTTAAATATTTTTATTTCAACTTTCTTCAGACAGACAATATTTTTAATGTATTTTTAAACTCTTCATGAAACTAAATGTTCTATTCCTATTAAATGCTGTTAACAATCAATAAAATGTTAAATATGAACTTGTAAACCAGGCCAATGACGACTCTAACAAATTGAAATATTTAACTGAATCATGAAATTAACTTTTACTTCAGTGGAATGTTGAAATCAGCTTTTATAACCTGAACCGTTGGTGGCTCGATGAGTCACAGGTAATCTAGTCACAAATAATGCTGAAATAGAACAGTGAGGCTTTGACCCGTTGATATTTACATGGTCGATTTGAACGTGTTACATATAAAAGGTTAAACATCTTAAAGACAAAGAAGCTGGTGGTGGACTTTTGAAGAAATGCTACAGCATCTGTCCCTTTGATTATCGGTTTTATAACAAAAAAAATATTTTTACCTCTATGATTTTCCTTAATGAAAATTGCTAATAGTTAAAAATGCTTAGAATGTTACCTTTTACCGAAAGTTACAAAATTCAATAAACATTAATCATTATTATGTATGTGGTTTAATCGAACTGTATGCAAAACACTACAGGAATTAAGGAGGTCAATCATGTATTTAATAATTATCCCCCTTTGACACCAGATTCTTTCAACCTCTTTGCATGAGAGAGCATGTGGGTGAACAAGTGAGAATGTTTTAAACGTTATTTTACTCATTAAATTAAACATGCCATTCAGAAGGCAAAACTGGCTGTATTTTGCCCAAGACTGATATATACTATTAATAATATTAAATTAATTTTCTCCCCAATCATTGTCTCTTCTTTTTCATTGTAGAGTGGAGTTCTTTTGCCAAAGGAGAGCAATTTTGGCAACCAGTTGGTGGCCCTGGGAACAGGTGTTCTCTCTGTCCAGCTTAGAGTCAAACCAATGGTCAGAGGAAAGAAGCAGGTTGTGATGGATAAAGAATTTATTGATGAGTTACAGATTGAGGTCAGTGTCCGTAACCTTTCATTTATACTGTGGGGTATTTCAAATAACCTGTTTAAAATATTATAGAATAATTTAAAAGCTACCCTATTGGGCAACATTTAAGCTAGCTACTGTGGTGGGCTCTTGATTGGGCCTTTTCCAAACACAGTCAGCACATTGTAACCATGTTCATAGTTGATGTTATTGAGTGTTGGCTTTAGGATTAATACAAATAAAATTTTCCTGAAGATGATCTTTAAAGAAGATTGAAAGTACTTGGGAAATGAAAATAAAAGAAATTTAAGCAGTTGTAGCACATTTCTGTCATCCTTTAATATTAATACATGGAAGTTTATTCGTGACTATGAACAGATTTTGTTAAAAATTAGCAGACATAATGTCTGTAATTTATTCAATCAGATTAGCCTAAAAGAGAATTTGCTGCATAAATACACAAATATATACTGTAGTTCGCTGCTACAAGCAAGCAGAAAAATATTTTTCTGCTGATGCTAGATGAAATAATAATAAAAATGAAAGAATATTAATATACAACCCAGTGTTTCTGAAGATTTGAATTTTTTAATATTTTTTATTGTTCAAAATAATATATATATATATATATATATATATATATAAAGATACAAATATTTAAGTAAATGTTCTGTTTATAATAAACAGTATTAAACATTTACTGGCCTGAATGCCTGAGAAATTCTGATAGAAGACAGGATTACATAGCTTGACGTGCCTTAATTTGTATCTATAAAAAGAATGTATAAACATAAAAATGTCTTAAAATAATTGTTGGACTTTGTCCATTTCATAATGTGTGACGTCATTTGGATACTCCATGAGCAGATATGAATTTACGTGAGAGAATCATGGAAGATTGTAGTTTAAAGACAGTAAATTCGACCTTGCTAACCAAACGCTCCTCTGTGGCCGAATCGGTTAAAAGGCACGTCGGGCTATATGACGGTTCCGTAGAGGATACAGGTTCGATTCCTGTCAGAGGACGAATATTTACTGTGAAAATTTCTCAGACATTCAGGCCGGTAAATATTGTTTAATACTGTTTATTATAAATAGAGCATTTACTTAAATATTTGTATCTATAAAAAGAATGTATAAACATAAAAATGTCTTAAAATATATATATATTAGGTGAGGCAAAAGTTCTGCACCATAAGGATGATTTATTAAAAGTATAATTTGCACATGAAAATTTTATTTACTAGTTATTTAATTATGTGCGCTGTTCAAAATGTCCTTTTTCAAAACACATTTCAATTCTTTGCCTGCATGATTCATTAACATGTCTGAGAGTTTCCTCTCCTATTTTATGGCATTCATATTTAATTCTTTCTTTAAGTTCCTCAATATTTCTTGAGTTCATCTGATAGACAACTGATTTCAAATAGCCCTACAAAAAAAAAAAAAAAAATCAACAGGACCTCTTTGAATTATCCATTAAAGGCTATAGTGTGTGGCTTTTGCCTTACCATATATATATATATATATATATATATATATATATAGAGAGAGAGAGAGAGATATATAGATATATAACCTAGTGAGCCAGACAAACCTACCCAGGTTTCACCTAAGCGAATCGTCAGGGAAAGCTGGCTAAAGAGACAAAGAGAAATGCATATTTATAGGCAAAATCATACCACGTGACCAAAAATAAAGAAAAAGATAAAGCTTTTTCTTTATTTTTTTAATGTCTGACGATTCGCTTAGGTGAAACCTGGGTAGGTTTGTCTGGCTCACTCGGTTTGTCTTGGTCTGCTCTACGGTTGTATTGAGCTCTTTTGTTAGTTGTTTATTTGTATCGTGGTTTTTTCTTTGGGCTTTGAACCTGTATCTGTGCGATTTTTTTTTTTTGACAGACTTTCATGTTTCTAGCTCTTTCTTTTTTTAAAACCTTTTTTTTCCTTCGAGATTGATGTAATTATTGGCAAATCAAAAATTCAAAGGGTTTTCGAAACGAGTATAGTTATCTATCTATATATATATATATATATATATATATATATATATATTACATTTGAACATATGTATAACTGTTACATAAATATATTCATGTTTCAATGCATGCAAAACATGAATGCATTTATGTAGCGGTTATACATATGTTCTAACGTAATATCCGATAATAACGAATTATCACTCTATTATTGTATTGAGCCCTTTTTTTAAATTAATGTTCTGAATGTTTAAATTTATTTGATTCATTCTCATTTCATTTTTGTGTGTGTGTATATATATATATAAACACAACAAAATCCAAAATTACCTCATAATTGGGTGGGGAGATAGATCTGTTTCAACCAACAAAAACTACATCAGTCTTATTCAACCCCAATGTGCAGTCAGACTTCATGTTGGAATTAGAAATTTAACTTTGGAACCTATCAAAAAATTGATGCAAAATTTATCCATTTCGATGTTTCAGTCAGCTGAAATACCCAAGACATTTTGGGATTTTGTTGTGTAAGACTATTGGCTCAGTTATAATAAATACATTGAACTCTTTTTGTTGAGCAGTTTAATATTTTATATTACTAGAATCCACTTTGATTATATATCAACAGATGTATTACCTGTACTTATATATATATATATATATATATATATATATATATATATGTTAAGAAATGGACAAGGTCCGACAATTTATTTATTAAAGACATTTTTTTATGTTTAACGTTGTTATTTTATAGATACAAGTATTTAAGCAAATTTTCTCTGTTATATCCTAAAGAAATCTAATATTTTCTAACAAAATTTCCTGAATTCAGGCCGTTTTCATTATTTATATCCTTATCAAAAACAGATATTTTCTTAAATACTTGTATCTATAAAATAACAACGTTAAAAAAAAATAAAAAAATATATATATATATATATATATATATATATATATATATATATATATATATATATATATATATAGGCAGCAATTTTCATTAATGCAGGTTTCATTAAATAATATAGACAAGTTTTATCTATTTATTTTAAGTAAGTTCCTTCCATATTGTCTGATAAGCTTAATCACACCGTTGAAAGACGATAGGTAAACACCATAATGATACATGTTTAAATCCAATCTAAACTTCCGGCTTACATAAGCCATTATCAGAGATGACAATTTTAATAAATCAAACAACACATGGACGAAACAACAATGATAGTTCGCCATTGTTGCATGAAAAATAAAAAACATGACCACACGAGAGTGAAAAGACGATAAGTATTAAGCATGGGAAGCTGTTGGTATAAAACCAATGGCTTCTGTTATCAATTACAGGCATTTAAGAATATTTGTGGAGATTACATAGTTTATTATGTTAAGGTTAGGTTT